ACATGACGGATCGCAATCGAGTTCACTTTGATCGAATCGAATTGAAAGTTGCAGAATAACCTATCAGTTCTAAGGTGGGAAAGCGCGGGTATATCCGTTGAGCATGAACATAAAGCTGAACCTTTGAAAATGAATATTGATGAATAAATTGATTCTTTGGACTATAGTATCATTGTATGACCATAAAGTAGGCTAAAGGAGATTGCCCAAAATCAGTATCGCTATAGAAGATAACTGTATAGCCACAAAAATATACCCATAAATTATGAAATCTTTTTTTAACTTTTCTTAGTTATCTTGATCGAAATTAAATGTGGGGTTAATATTTTGGGTCTAAATAGTAATTATTTCGATTTTATTTGCATTATTTTCAAGATGGCTTTCTTTAAGTGAAAGCAGTGTTGTCAACTTTATGAACTTCCCGGTAATCGGGTTTGGCAAACAGGCAGACGCTGAGTTTTAGAAAATATTTTAAATATTAGATATTCCCACGTGATTTATACTTTTTTTTTAATTAATTATATTAAAATAAAACATTTATTTTCTAATTATCAATCTTTCGTATGTTGACAAATCAGTTATAGTCAGAGAGATTTAGATTAATTGTTGATAACACTACGACGGGCAAATAGAAGGTGAACTGTCATCAAAAGTGTCACTGTCAAGTCAAACAGCGTTGTATTGGCGCGACGGCGAAGTTTTGTTTTCCTTGATAAGTTGTTATATTTGTTGTTATAACAAATAACTTATTATTAGATACGTCGAGTTTGTGTCCAGTAGAGTCTTCGGATTCCTGCACGAACAAGATGTCTCTTTCAAGACTATTGTGCTGTTACTGTGCTAGTGCTGTGGATTGTGTAGAACGTTTTTTGCGACTACGGTCCGAGTCTCTGTGCAGAAAATCATAAACAATTGTTTTAATATGTCGCGCTGTGTGAACTGTGCCCTTTCTCTGGTACATCCTTTACACTTTCGTCAACTCGGGGACATAACGGACACAATGGTTAGAATTTTACGAACCTGGATTGCTCCAGCAACGGTCAGTATAATCTTATTTATTGAGTTATGTTTTATTGTAGTTTTTACCATTTTTCTCAAGACTCGCACACTTTTTAGACACGTGTGCAAAGCTTACGTATAGTATGTTATATTATCAATAATATTGCTTGATACTACTTTAGATAATACTAATAGCCAGTTATTTGATCAGTAATTAAGCATACTATTTGTTAAAATCCTATACATTTTCAACCGAACAATGCACAAGATTTTAACTTTTGGTGACACAGTGCAGTGATCAAGCAATCTACTGCTGTGCTACATGTTGCAGGTTCAATTCCCTCACAAAACAAATATTTGTATAATCTACAAGTAGAATCTTGCTGTTTGTGTATGTGAATTTAGATGTTTGTAAACACACCCGCAACACAGAAAAAAACCCTAGAGTGGGATAATGTTTTCTATGAAGAACTGGCCTTAAGCCACCGGGGTCTAAGTCTTATACACTATATGTATTTTCTTGTGCATTTAACTTTTACAGCTGATCTATGTGATTCTATAAATAATAATTAATAATCATGATGAGATACCACCACAAAAAGAAGTCATACTTTTGTAAATACTTTTGAAAATAATGTAGGTAATTTTTATTTAACTAATGCTAAGGTCAATATCCAAACATAATGTTTTATGTATCTTTTATATATATTTTTAGGTGTCAGCGGAAGATGTTGTTTGTCAAGAATGTTATACAATACTTGAAAGAGCAACTCTAAACTTGTCAAGTGGAGCAACAGTTGAACGAGCTTATGGACATCAACAAGTGTGTTTTGTATGTGGATCTTCCATATTAAGAGCTAAGACACACTGAGTATCAATTAATAGCCCTGAAGGAAATGTCATAATGTCATACATACCTACTCAGCAGGTATTTATACTTATAAATTATTAACACTTCACTCATTATTATTGTTATCCCTCATTAAAATGGTTCTTGGATTGTTTACTAACATCTAATAATTCATAATATTGATCATGACGTTTTCAAGTTGATCATTTGCATTTGTCTTATATTTCACATATCATAATTGTTTTAAGTGTATAAAAGTTATGCTTGAAATCCTTAATAGCAAGATTAAAGCTTTCAATTTTATTTTTTAGTTACACCGGCTAGAAAAAGTTTGCTTATGCTGTTGGACTAATGCCTATAGAAGTGTCAGGAGACAGAATCAGCATGATCAAAATAGGCAACAGCAGTTTGTTCATATACAAGCCATTGGAACACAAGAGAACGTAGATGTTCCTACATCAAGTCATGAAGTGGAAAGTGCATCAGAAACATCTGTGCCTTCAAGGGATTTCTCAATACCTACGCCACCACCACAACCTATTCAGCAATTGTATCAGGATCATAATGTTGCACCCTGCTCTAAAATAATCTCACGTATTTATAAAAGAGCAGCCCCATCATCACTGCATTGTATTTTTGATGATTGTAGGAATACAAGAACGTTTGCTAGTACCATAAGAAATGTTATTGTCAGAGCATAAATTGTATGTACCAGTTAGTGCCCGAATATGCAGTTATCATCTTAGTATTGGTTCTTGAATTGAATTACAGTTTCATTATAATGATTTTACTGGGGGCCAAATGGATGACATGATGTCAATTATGCACAGTGGTACTCGCAGACAGTACAACTTTTCTAATATTAGAGAAATGAATCCACACCTCTGTCATTATTGGTTAGGAATCAATGCTGAACAATGCGTACATACAAAATGAAAATATTAATAGAAGGAGAGCCATTTTCCAAACCATAGATGCTGAGCATCCACATTTGGACACATTTCCAAGACTTACGTTACATGATTTGATGACAGTAGCTCTAGGATCCTACCAGTTAAAGCAGGCTCGTTCATACTATGGGGAGCATGTCCGTGGAAACGGAAACTACGAAATAGAGTTAGCAAACGACATTGAGGATGACTTGCCATTGATACTGGGAACGGACAAGTATTTAGTAAGGGGACAAATTAAATCACGTCATGTTAGCAATAAGGTGTACTATGCATACATTTTGGTCAATAGGGCTATATGTAATTCAGTAGCTGATATTGCTGATATTTTATGAATATGATGATCATATGGACCAATAAAACTATTTCATTCCTATATTTTGGCATTATTAATTTCTATTCCCTATATGTACATACTTACCTATAAATCCCTACATTTAGTAGGTGTAACCTACCTATCATTGAACCTAATATTTTTTACTTACTGAGGATTCGTTGGTCAAGTGGTCGCAAGTGCGACTGCCGGGCAAGGGGTCTCGGGTTCGATTCCCGGGTCGGGCAAAGTAATACTGGGTTTAAAAAAAAAATCTCAGTAGTAGCACGGAGTCTGGAATTGTGCCCGGTATATGGCAATAGGCTCACCCCCTATTACATGGGACTTATAAATAGTGAAAAGTGAGTGTTACATTGTACAGGGTTATAAAGTCCACCTCTGCCTACCCCTTCGGGGATAAAAGGCGTGATGTTATGTTATGTTATGTAACTGAGGATTATTCACTGGTTTGATGGAACTATTTTGAGTTGTCTTATGAAAATTCAAACCATATTGTTGTGAGGACTGCATTTTTCCGTAGTTACATAACTAACCTCAAAACTTAAACTGAAAATCAAAGAACATTAAAACCCCACAAAATAAATAGATAATTTTTATTTCCTTAGAAAATACGACATCTCCCCTCTTTTATGTCCAATTTATGCTATCATACAACTTATTTTTATGCGCAACGGCGGTCCATAGAAGAATGGGCAATCTCCTTTATACTCTTTCTTTTTATTACAGCGTTGTGTTTGTGTCATGATATTCATGAACATCTTATCCGAATAGGTACCAATTTGCTTAACTTGTAAGAAGTACTGTTTTGTTTTTTTAACCGTTGCCCACAGTTGGTTTTTCTATTGTGTCGGGGGTGCGTTCACAAACATACAAGTTCACATACACATGACACCAAGACCTGGAACAACAATCCGTGGACACATAAAGAGTTGTTCCGTGAGGGAATCGAAAGCGCCCCGGCCACCGCGCCCACTTTGCAGTATTGCAAATATTGCTCAAATATGTTGCTGCATTGCCTACTAAAGATTGGTTGTTAAAATCCTTGGATAACTTAGATTTAAATCTAAACCAATATTTTAATAGTTATCTACTGTTGTTTTTGTATGTATGTATAAATAAAGAAAAAAAATAAAAAAAAATATTAAAACAACATAGAACACATTTACAATTACAGCTCGCTCAGTAAGTATTATTATTATTAAAAATAACACAAAATTATATTATTAAAAAGTCTTAATAATAACACTCGTAATAGTTTACTTAATCTAGTCTTATACAATATACATGCGAGGAAATAACGTTTTAAGTATATATAGGGATTACCCGAACTAGGTTTATTTAAACCTGTCTTTCAGGCTATCAATGCCAAAAATGATTTGATGTATATAATTATAAATAAAAATCTGTGTGAAAAATGGTCATTAATATGTAGAACACAACGTACCTATGCGTTATTTCACGTTTGCCGTGGAGGAAGTAGGAGGAGGAAGCAGGAGTAGGAGGTGATAACCTCCTACTCCTGTCGAGCCGGCCCATGCGTCTCTGAAACTACGAGTAACTTTACAAAATGATAGTGATTCCGATGAGGGCAGCGATTGATACCGCCGTGTCTAGGATAACGATTATGTCAACAATGAAAGACAAGTCACCGATCGAGAACAAGTTGGCGATGAATATGCAGAAATTCTGAATTATTAGTTTTAAGATACATGTAACAATACAATCAATAAATCTTTTAACCTAAATAAGTGTATTTGCGTAATAAATATTTTTTCGTGTGTCTTATAATCGGTTTTCAGTGACATCTTTATCCTGTCTTTGTTTATTATATCTTTTCTTGTCTAACCTATCGTTTTTCTCTTTCTAGACGGAGAGTAGTCAGCACCAGGGTTCCGAGTACATCAGCAAAGCATCCCGCCTCCTCGTCAAACTACAACGGTAATATTCAACGTGCTTTTAATCGACATAACATAACATAGCCTTTTTGTCCCCGAAGGGGTACGCAGAGGTGCACATTACGGCACTTAATGCCACTGTACAATATAACACCCACTTTTCACTATTTATGTTATGAGTCCCATGTAATAGGGGGTGAGCCTATTGCCATATACCGGGCACAATTCTAGACTCCGAGTGCTGCTACTGGGATTTTTATAAAAACTCAGTAACATTTTGCTCGACCCGGGACTCGAACTCGAGACCCCTTGACTGGCAGTCGCACTTCCGACCACACGGCCAACGAGGCAGTCTACTTTTAATCGACTTCAAAAAAAAAGAAACTAGGGTCTCTGTGACGTGTATGTATGTGCGCAATTATGTCGCCTTTGGCTGAACCGATATTGATGCGGCTTTCAGAAAAGTGTTTGTTGCACTACTTAGGGGAAGGTTTTAGTTTATAGAAGTATTTTTTTTTAAACTCTGTTTATAATGACTGAATTGACTGAACGGTTGGTGCGGTGGCTGGGCAACCGGCTGCCGTGCAACGTGTCGCGGGTTCGATTCCCGCACGGAACAACACTTTGTGTGGTCCACAAATTGTTGTTTCGGGTCTGGATGTCATTGTGTATGTGAACTTGTATGTTTGTAAACGCACCCACGACACAGGAGAAAATCCTAATGTGGGGCAACGTTTTTTTTAAAAAAAAAAGAAAAAAAAAAATGTAAAATTTTTGCCCTACACTAGGACTCTGTTCTGTGTGTGCGTTTACAAATATACAATTTCACACACACATCACACAGACTCAACAATCATTTGTCGATAACAGAGAATTGCAGCCGGTTACCCACCTACTGCCCCAACCGAGTAGTCAGTTACTTTTGCTAGGAATACAGCCAAGTTTCTGCTACTCTTTTGAAGATAATAGTGATTTTTCTTGCTTGTTCTTCTCATTTGACTTCAAAAGTGCATTATCATGTCTCACTTTGCCACAGCAAGTGCTAGATTATAGACCCCTTTACATAAGACAGTTTTGCCATTATATCCACGCTTGTCATTTCGTTTATCATCGTACTGCTGCCCAATGTCTGTTAAACGCAGTTCCAAGTCGGCTCTACGACACACGCGGACAGAGTAAGGATGATAATGATGACGTGGATTTAATCGACACAGGAGAGATACAACAATATTATAATATATAGTGGTACATAAGGCAAACTAAATGCCGTATGACATTCATAATTGCGGCAAACGAGTTGACGGATCGCCTGATGGTAAGCAATCGGCGCCGCCCATGGACACTCACAACACCAAGGACTTGTCACAGGCATTTTAAGGATTTGGAGGTTATCCCCAGAGCTTCAAATTCTTAAAATGGAAATGAGGATGTATGGCGTTGCATTTAAATTTTAAATATCGATTTAACTGATTTCAGCTATGATCAGGCTGTGGACAGTCTGCGGCGGGAGATCGGCTTTCACCAAGAGGCAGGAAATATGGGGGCTATCGGAAGACTCACCGTTGCTATTGTCCTTGTCCAACTCGCCAGGGGAGATGCTGTCGCTGCCGAAAAGGCTTACAAGGTCGGTCACCTGTACTCTTTTCAAAAGCAATTGACGTTACCTTTGGCAACCGACAACACCTCAAGAGTTTCAATTTCATTGTCGGCCTTTTGGAGATTCAATTTGAGGATTATGAAGTTGGGGGTGGAGGGGAGGACTAGAACGTATTGACAAACAAGCAGTTGTAGATACAATACACCTGCACCACCTCTGGGAGGTACAATTGAGATTATAGTTAGGGAAGAGGTTTAGGCAAACACAACGCAAGAATGATTTCGCGAAGGTTTTCTGTAATGCCGTATATCAATCACTTCAATCGATTAGACCGACCCATTCTTACAGAAGCATGTCTTTTGATTGAATCTATATGGCAATTGGAAAGCAACAGCGAGCACCAGAGGAGTTAAAACATGGATTTCTGGATTTCCACCCTTTAGATGGTTAGGGGGGGGACTAGGTGTCCGGTATCCTCACTCACACGGCCCATTCTTGTGCAAGTATGGCTCTACTACCCGTAGAGTACTTGAGTTTCCGATTAGCTACAGATTTCTTATTACTACTAGATTCCGGTTATGTTCGATTTATTCCTATAGTGTAGATGTTGTCGTACGTACGTGTAGAGCATATGCTAACTAAATTTTATAGTATACCTAAGTAATGACAATTTCGTACTAATTCCCCATTATGTCACAGGAATGGGGCAGCAACTGCGAGGTGGCTGAGATGCAGACATTGGAACAAATACTCCAGGCCTATGATGAAGAGGACAGAGAGTCAGCGAAGCGTGCGCTGGCCAGTCCTTTCATCCGCAACATGGACGTGGAGTACGCTAGGTTGGCGGCCATGGTTCCATTGCCAGAAGCCATGGAGCCGGCCCCCAGAGCCACCGTCGTTGAGAATGCCGCCCCGTCTTATGTTAGCCCCAACGCACACTCCACTACAACTGCGGTATGTTAAAAAATAATGAAAAAAGAAGAAAATAGAATGAAACAAATACAGAAAGAAAGAAGAAAGATTATATGAAAGAAAGAAGGATAGAGAAAAGATTGAATGCAAGTAGGAAAGAGGATAAGTGAAATTAAAAAAAATAAAGTAGAACGATTGAAATAAGAAAGAAAGAGGAAAGGCATTCCTTTTTTTCGCTATGGTTGCATGAAAGAAAGCAGAAAATAAAATTTGAATGAAAGAGAAGATTAAAATAAATGAAATAAAGAAAGAAAGCAAGAAGAGGAAAGATTGAATGAAAAATAGAAAGACGAAAATATGAAAGATTGCTAGAAAGAAGGAAAAACTTATATGATATTTTGAATGACAAACGAGAAATAGAAGAAAGTTTGAATGAAAGAAAGAATGTGTGATAAGATGGATGAATGTAAATAAAACTAATGTATGTAGCAAGCAACGAGTCCCGGTTCGATTCTCGGTGCAAGTAAAGAATGAGATTTTTGAAAATACTCAATATATGCTAGACTACAGTCATAATATATGAGCATAGAAATAGGATAAATGGTTGTGGTGCGTCTGTCTAACATGCAGTCGTCTGTTCATATTTATTTTTTAACGTGGTTTGGTAGTTTTTAGGTTTACACATAAGGTTCTTTTTGTTAATCATGGGTGCATTTACAAACAAACATACATCACATTCAGACCCGGAATAACAATTTGTCACTTTGTGTTGTTTCGTGAGGAAATCGAACCTGTGACACGTTGCGCAGCAGCAGGTTGCCCAGCTATACATTTTTCTAGTTTTGAAGATTTTACAGCTGACTGTGTAGTTTCGTGTTCGAGGATTGGTTTGGGTATAGAAATTTGATTTTTTAGTTAAGTGAAGTATATTTAAATTGTAAATGTAGTATTATGTGTGTGTGTGTGTGAGTGAATTGCAATAATAGTGGTCGAGTAGGAACTGTAGTAATGGCCGAGTAGGAGTACTGATAAAATTATGTATTACAGAACATAACATCACGCTATTTATCCCCGAAGGGGTAGGCAGAGGTGCGTATTATGACTTTTAATGGCACTGTACAATGTAACGCCCACTTTTCACTATTTATGTTATGAGTCCCATGTAATAGGCGGTGAGCCTATTGCTATATACCGGGGACAATTTCTGACTCCGTGCTATAACTGAGATTTTTAAAAACCCAGTAATACTTTGTCCAACCATGGAATCGAATCCGACACCCTTTTTACGTATCGTATCCCTTTTTGTATTTTACTGTTTTGAATTGGGTACTTGTCGTTATTAAAAATAAATTATTTCGACTGTTCAATACAATGAAATATTAAAAAATAATCATACTTTTATCAATTGATTTTATGAGTAACTTAATTTTAGCATTTTACAAGTAAAAAAAATGTGACGTCACAATATACAATCTGTTACAAATATTATAGAAAATTTATCATTTTGACAGTTCAAAAAAAGAGTATTGATTATGACTAAAATTAAAAGTACTCTTAACCGACGAGCATGCATGAAAAGATTGATGACTGTTAATGAAGCGGAAGAGGTATGTAAGAATCGTAGTAATTGGCGTTCCTTAGTCTCTGCCTACCCCCATGGGAGACAGGCGTGAAGTTATGTATGTATGTATGTATGATTATGACTAGTTGGCAAGTACCGAATTGTTAAATGTGGGAATCGAAGCGTGACCTTTGTGAGCTGGTGGCACGTGGAAGTCGAGCTGGTAGTCTTGGGTGCAACAGCAGCAGCTTCTCGAAAAGCTTCGAGACAGTGTCCAGGAGCGTGATGGGGCGATAGCTCCCCGGCAGCAGTGTGTTCTTCCCCTGTTTGGGCAGCATGATTACTCTGCCGAGCTTCCACTTGGCAGGGAAGTGTCCGGTGCGGAGGATGCCGTTGAATAGGCGCGTCAACGTCGCGACTCCTCGTGGCGGCAGGCATAGGGCTTCATTGGCCCGTTTTTTCAAAAATTTTACTAAATGTACATAGTACTGAAATAGATCTAAAGTTAGTAGGGTCAGAAGTACTACCTGATTTAAATAACGGAGTTATTTTACTATTTTTCATGAGACCAAGAATACGCGGTCGATACAGTTATTAAAAATTAAAGCTATAATAGCTATAGGAAAATGTCCGGTACTGAGGATACCATTGAATAGCCGCGTCCATCTTTATATATATAGTATATAGAAAAGAATATACTTATAACCTTTCTATGTATTTTTAATGATATTAGGTTAATACTATTTTGAACTGCAAACATATAAATACAAAACTAATACCATATCAAGTAAAGTAAATGTTAAATATTTAATATTCTATATACTTATTTTATTAAATAATGTTAAAATAATTATATAATGTAAATAAAAATAAACTAGCTGTGTGATCGCAAACGCGATTGCCGGACAAAGAGTCTCGGATTCAATTCCCGGATCGAACAAAATACTATTAGGTTTTTAACAAAAAAAATACTATTAGGTTTTTCAAATCTTAATAGTAGCACGTAGTCTTTAATTCTACCCGGTGCCCGGTATATAGCAATAAGCTCACCCCCTATTACATGGAACTCATAACATAAATAGTGAAAAGTGGGTGTTACATTGTACAGTGGCACAATATGCACCTCTGCCTACCCCTTCGGAGATAGAAGACGTAGTACCTACTTATATCAATTTTATATTTTAATTATAATAAAACTGAAATGTAAAAAATTTAATTAAAAAAAAACTTATATTATTTTTTAAGCAATAAATAATAAATTATAACACACCAAAAAATCCAAAAACACTTATTTTATAATCATTTCAATTAAATACGTATACCAAATCACTACTATTGAAAAATCTTAATCAAGAATAGAATCCAAGACCTCCCGCCCAAAAATAATGCTACACACCACCAAACCACTGGCACATTGAAATTACATCAACGATCACTTAATTAATAAAATACCACAATAATGCAATAATAATTATTACTTACAATAACTAACTAACAATTGCATCTAAACAATCAATTTTGCACACCAAAAAAGTTATTTCCTGGCCCAAGAATCGAACCCGTGCCAAACAGTCGAACAGTACCTATACGTACGGTAAACGCAGCCGCACTGCACCGACCTGCAAACTGGCTCAGCTGTTGAGTTTGCGATTACGACCTGGGTTTGATTATCAGGTCAGGAAAAAGCTATGAAATATTCAATATATAAAGAAATCTTTTTTTTTATTTATATTATCTATGAGAAGTAAAAGTTGTGATATTATTAAATTGTATTATTTCCTAAAATAACCATATTTAATTAGACACATTGTATAGTTGGCATATTGTCTGGGCAACCGCTTGCAGCACGTGTCGCGTGTTCGATTCCCTAACGGGACAATTCGTTGAGTGCTCTGTAAACTGTTGTTTCGGGTCTATCTGTAATGTGTGTGCGAAATTACATATTAAAAACGTCACGAAAAATCCTAATAATATAATGGAGTTCTTAAATTGCTATTTATTAAATAAATATTTAACACAACATATAAATAACATCACCTCTCTAAATTCCAGGACATATGCCCAAAAGTTGAGGAGTCGCCATACGCCCCGGTGACATACGCTCCTAAGAAGCCAGCTGAAGATGAAGACGGTCTTTGCTAAGCTGCCATCGTCACTTTGTATTTTTTTGCATGCCTACCCAAATTAATGGTGATAGCGCGATTATATTACAACCTAAAAAACTGATTTAGTCTATATTTTAAGGGAAACTGGCGAACCTCTGCCTATGTAGAGTAAAACTGTAAAGATATAAGCTATTCGGAGTTGTCTAAACTACAAACTAGCCTGTATCTTTTTTTGACTCCAAGGTGAGAGACCCTCATGAAGCCCCCTCGCCTTGGGCAAATGAAAGGGACTGTCAGACTCCCCGGTGTCCCGTCCCACACTGGGTACGAGGGTTATTCCGCGGCCAGCGCGGGCCGAAAGACAGCGATTTCCGCTCTTCTTCGACGCTCGGTGCGCCTATTGCGGGAAGGTAGAGAAGTTATATTTTCCCTTTCCCTCTCCGCAGCTTCCTTCGCAGAAGGACACCACTGCATCCGACGACTGCACTGCTGACCATTTTATGGACAACATTCCACAGTGATAGGTCGTTACCGATCTCCAATGTGAGAGTGCAACGTGACCCATGCCAAGCCACGCACTGCGTAAGGGTGTGCTATGCCATATCCTCCTCACAATGGACGCAGTGATTGCACCGAGCGTCTGGCTCCCAGCCTACGCTATACAGGAACATCCTGAAACACCCATGGCCCGAGAGTACTTGCGTCACTTGGAACGACAGGAAGCCCTTTCTCCCGAGCCAGTCGTCGACTACTGGCCCGACCGTCTCGATGGAGTTGAGTCCAGCAGTAGAGCATTGACGCCTCTCCGGCCATTCCGCCACCAACACCTGGCGAAGGTCCGACCGATGCGATGCTATCTGCCGTTGCATTAGTCAAACACCCCGTTCCTGCTATTCTTTACGCCACAGATACAGTGACGCGAGTACTTTCGCCTCGAAGTCCCAGGGCAGAGATCCAGCCAGTACACAAGCTGCCTCAAGGAAACCGTGCGATGGCCCCATATAAGACTGGAACGGCCATCGCCTTTTGCGCCCATATCGGGTCGTCATACATGGCTATATATCGCACGATTCCCACGCGGTGATAAGATAGCCTGTATCTAGTCTAAATTGTGCCAATTCTCTGTATAAAGGAGACGCAATTTAATAGGATTGTAATTGTAACTTGTAATAACTTAAAAAAAAAATCAAAAATAACTATCATTGTTCAAGAAATACTTTACATTGGTTATTTTTCTTGTATCAGAAATCGCGCTATCACCAGCATATAGTTAATAATCGCTTTGTTTGTTATATTGTAAACATGTAATTATTCTCGCTACGCACTACAGCACTTTCAAACAAGCACTGCAAATGCACTTAGCCGCCATTTTACACATTTTCATGACAGGGCTAAAGTTGATATATTATTAATTGTATTACACCCAAAAAGGACATTTTTCGAAGGCTATCATCACTTTAAACCCCATAAAGGCAATTTCTTGGAGCCTGTATGATTATTTTGGATACAATCACCTTCGATCTTTAATCCTTCCCTGTCCATAAATTGTATGAATAAAAAAATTGTGACTGAACCAATGCAATACAAAACTGTACGTATGTATGTACAGTTTAATGAAATAAAAAGCAATGGAAAGCGGGAGCTTTAAACTAGTTTTAAAGTATCGCTGTTTTGTTGAAAGGTTCGTAAAGTAAAGAATCGAAGTTTATTGTTATATATGGTAAATTTTGGGAATTAATTCGAAATACCGGTTTGAATAATGGTAAAAGCTCTGCTTGTTTCAGTACTTCTATTATAGTAGAGATTTTCTCATTATTTGTACTTACGTGAGTGAACCGGTATTTTTGATTAATTTACACCCGTACTCAGATATGTTTAATAGTTACTTAAATTATTTCTTAATGACGATTTTATTCCGAAAACAATTACTAAGGACTGTGTTGAGTAAGTCACTATTAAATGATTCTGAGTACGGCGGTTAGTATGTCGCACGGTAGTAGTTATACAAACTTTTGGAAATTTTAAACATGATAATGTAAACATGTCTTGGATTCACGTGGTAACAGTGTCACAATGCATAGGAATGTCAGGAGTCGTGGTTTATTAACATAACTTGTGTTTTGTAACAACTGCGCGAGACTTTGACTCGTAACAACAAATTGAAGGAAATAAGAAAACAAATACATGTGAATTTTAATAATCCACATTCCGGACTGTTTAGTACAAAGAAAATAAGTCAAAATTGAACATCGACTTGAAACAAAACGATGTTAATACTCATTTTGATACTGTTTTCGCGTGATACAATCGAAATGATATACAAAAAATCGTTTAAATAAAATCAAATTGGCATTGAATCGAATAGTACACATTATATGATAGGTAATGGAATTTTTAAAGGAACTATTAAAAGATATCGCTCGCGCTATCCATGTGTATTGAATATTCGTCTGTAAAGATGTATAGATTCAATTGAATCAAGCTCCAAAGTCAAGGTAAATTGTCCAAAAAGCGCGAGCGACATAAATCTATTCAGCGTTGTAGTAAATTGTAAAGAAATTGACAAAATTTTAAAGTTAAAATAAAAAGTTGTTATAAAAAATTAAATAATATATGAAATTAGGGATGAAAAGTTGTTACGAATTCTTCAAATCGCTTCGCTTCTTGCATTCTTGTAGAATTTCGTCAATTGGTATTTCGCATCCATGATCTACACTTTTTTCTATCGATTAGGCGTATGTGGACTTTACGGACAGTAGCGGAGATGTCTGTTTGTCAGTATCAACATTCTTGTCATGGGTTTTACATACCTAATATTATAAACAAATTTGCTATATTATCGCAAAAAGTCATAGAATATAAAATACTATAATCTGTATGTCAAATATTATAATAATTATATCAAAACAATATAATAAAGAATAAAATATAATTAATATTTATCTACAAAATAAGCAAAGCATGTGTAAAGTTCGTTAAGTAGAATTCGGGTGATTTAAATCAAATATATTTAAAAATAAATTATTATTGTTATTAAAATCAATTGGTGATATTATATGCTTATTTATTATAGTTTGTGACAAATTCATACGCTTGTTGACGCAAATAGTAATTATATTATGATGTTACAGAATTAAAAAATAATAGATTTATTTGACAAAATATTTGGTTTCACATATAGTAGGAGAAATCACATAAGAAGTATAAATGCTGTTATTAATATAAAATGAAATATCTGATATTAAATAGGTTTACATTATAAATTGAGTAATTGAAACCGTTAATGTTTTTCAGGTTTGATATATAATGTGGTGTATCAAAATAAAATTGGACTTGACAAGGACATAATTCCCCTTGTCTTATTTATTCTAAATAAGTCAAATCAGTGTGAATAAAGAATAAAAATATTAGGTACCTTTATATAAAGAACCATATTGCGTATTATGAAGCTATTCATGTTTTGTTGTAAATAATGACTTTGTGGAAAAGTTAATATGAAATCTTGTCATGATTTGACCGACAGTTAATTAATTGGATATAAACAAAGCTTGCTTACATTCATTTCATTATAAACGTTATTCTCAATTGCTATTAAGTCACATTTCGCTTGCACTTAGTTATTATTAATGTTAAAGAATATGCATTTAAGCGATTTGTGTTTGTGTGTACTATGAAAACAGTTGAATGATTCTGATTGTGTTGCTTCTACATTTCGATGTCTAATTTAATGTCGTATGAATAATGTAATAAAACTGATCTTTGTGTGACACCGTATATGCGATGTGATTGTAAGGTTATCACTTAATGTACAGACTGTTCATTGAAAAGTGAAGATGAACAATTGAACAGCCTGTATTGGTCCATAAACACAATATTATTGCGTATATATTATAACAAATTTTGGTTAATTTCATTTTCTATAAATATTAATTTGATAATGTACATTATGTCTTAAATTTTCCTCACCTGTAGGCCTAATACTTAATCTATGAACCGACCGATTTTAAGGGATATATGTCTATAATAATTAGAATTACTGTTGTATAAAAAATACATATTTTGTCAAAAATATTTGTATAACTGTCCACATGATTCTATATTCTCGTATGGTCAACGTTTTACTGTATTGTGATGTGTGTGCGGTACAGTTTGCGTGCAAATGTCGGTCTGGCGTTTGCCTTAATCTATTACTTGCAAAGGCAGCTTTCACCCTAGCGTTATGTATTCGCATGTATATTTGACGTGAACTGTACCCTCACGCAGTTTAGCTATGAATCCCTTAAATAAGTCGTGTAAAGCAGTGCTCTTCTATCGCAAAATTTGTGTTGTGTGTTTTATGTAGCGCATAATAAAATACATTTTTAAATGTCCTATTGTTAAACAATCCGAGCGTCTTGATGAACGTCTGTCAATTTGAGCAACGCACATTCATTGTTTATGATTAAATTAAAAAGATGTAGATGTAATAAAGATTAGAGAATTGGGTCGGTATTGACCTCCGAACTTATCTGTACCCCTTTACTACCTAGCGATTAATCACAACGTGATCCACGAGAGTGATGAAGCTAAAATTTTTGAGAATTTATAAACGTTACACCAGCAAAACGTTGTCCCATGAATTTTTTAGAACTTGCTACGCATTTATTAGGGTAAGTCGCGTTATATAGAACACATACACACATACAATGCTTTTATTGATATATATAGTGTATAAGTATATAACTTATTGTTATATCAAATCAATGTAGTGAGATCTAGTGATATAAGTGTTAGCGCGTCAACTAATAGTGATTTATTGAACTCTAGATATTCCATTCAAGCTCAAGATCCTTAGAAACGTGCTTATATACTTACTTATTATTAGATTTCCTATAAGTTTTATTTTAATGATATTTTCAACCTTGTATAGTCCCTGAGTTCGTTAATTTGTATAAAATGTATTTCGTTTCGTAATTTCTGTTAGTATTGTATTCTGATAGTAAATTATTGTTGGAAGGTGTTGTTATTGAATGCACTGCCGATTAGACACAACAGACC